ATTATCCTACAGAAAGGGAAAGCGGTGTTTAGAAGTCAAAAGAAGGTTCACACTTTAAAAAAAAAATATATATATATATTTTTAGGGATGTTGTGGATTCTTCATCACTTGAAATCTTTTGTAGATAAATGGGAGTTAAGCATCTGTTAGATTAAGCAGTCTAGATTAAAGCTGAAATGAAACAAAAGTTTGATTGAGGAACAACCAACTGAGTCAAGCTTTTCAACCTGTGTTGTGAGCAATCACTGTTCTCAGGCAGTCAGAGGTACCGATCTGTTCGTGGCATTCCAGTCTGGCCAGTCTAGGAGATACCCATCCAAGAAAAGCACAGATTCAGATGCAAACCGTGGAGAGGCAGGACATCAAAAACACCTCTTCCTTTGAGCTAAGTATTTAAGTGTGGAAAAAAGGGAGGAGGGAAGTCTTGGATTTTTACTAGCTGCTTTTTTTTTTTTTTATTAAATCAGTGTTTTATCAAGAAAATGAAAATTTGCAGCCTGCCCTGTGATGATGGAGTCCATGTCACTTGATTGTGGGGTTAGATTTTGTGGAGTATATCACAGCTGTTTGTATCAATGAGGAGCCACGGAGGAAGGTTTGATTAGAAGAAAAGCACATGAGGCTTTTCTGGCACGGAGGAGCTGGGTGCGTGTCATTTGTGTGACCTCTTTTCTGGTCTTGGAGTCTTACTTGTAAGATGCTCATGGCAGCTTTTCCTTTGATCTGTCTGCAGGAAAATTAAATCCATGTGGCCTCCACCCCAGAACCTTTCTGCGTCCTGGACGGAAATACCCATCTTTACTGGGGGGTTGGTTTTTATTGTCATCCATATGTCCCAACGTCTGCGAGAATGACGTATCTGTCTTTAAAATACCTGGAAAAGAAAAATCATTGTTGTGAGCTGTCAATCACAGGGAGATGAGCTTTTTAAACCCACCTATAGAGAGTTGCCTTGGTTGGTGCAGTTTGAAATGGTGAAGAAATGCTGCCGTCACCTTGCCACGCTCATTTAGCATCTCTGTAATTTATAAATAGGTTGTGCCTTTGCTAGGACCTGGGGTTGTGCTTACATGTAATGATGTGGTCCGGCTGGGATGAAGAGCCCAGCCTGGGCACAGCAATTGCTGCTGGCCATCAATGGTAGGATGCTCCCAATGTGCCTGTGGTTGACAGCTTGCCGGAGCCAACCACGAAAAGAAAAAGGCATGGATCCTCTCTTGGTTTGGATCAGATGATGTCTACAAGAGGTTAAACACCATGGTTTTCCTCTTTCCTTAGCTGTTCTGGAGTACTCGGCGTGTGTTTGTATTTAGGGAAGCATCATGCTCGGTGAAGCCTAACATCTGCCTGAAGTCTACCTCGGGAAATGCATAAGCAGAATCGAGCTGGGCCGTGACTAGAACTGCTCCCCCATGGGCTTTTATGGACCATCCCCTCCTCAGCTGCTCAAGTGCTACTTAGAATCACAGAATCATTCAGGTTGGAAAAGACCCTTGGGATCATCGAGTCCAACCATTGACCCTACTCTACAAAGTTCTCCCCTACACAGTATCCCCCAACCCCACATCTAAATGACTCTGAAACACATTCAGGGATGGTGACTCCACCATTTCCCTGGGCAGCCTATTCCAGGTTGCTCAAAGCCCCGTCCAAACTGGCCTTGAACATCTCCAGGGATGGGGCAGCCACAGCTTCTCTGGATGACCTCTTCCAAGCTGTCAGGTCTTTTTTCAGTGGTGCCCAGTGACAGGACACTAGAAAATGGGCACAAACTTGAATGTAAGAAGTTCCACCTAAACCTGAGGAGGAACTTGTTTCCTGTGAGGGTGGCAGAGCCCTGGCAGAGGCTGCCCAGGGAGGTGGTGGAGTCTCCTTCTCTGGAGACATTCAAACCCCACCTGGACACGTTCCTGTGCAACCTGCTCTGAGTGGACCTGCTTTGGCAGGGGGTTGGACTAGAAGATCTCCAGAGGTCCCTTCCAACCCCATGTGATTCTGTAGCACCAAGCTGGTTGTGATAGGTCTGCAGAGGTGATGTTGGACATGAAGGGGAAATAAATAAATCTAAAGCGTGGCAGCATTGCCAGCCCTGGAGCCGGGGATTGTTAGCTTCGCCTTAAGTTTAAAGAACATCTGCAAAAGCTAGAACCCAACCAGTGATTCAGTTGATGCTAATGACTGCCTGGTGACTTGATATCCGCTTCCCTTCGGAGATGACCCTTGGGAATAGGATTTGAAGCCAACCAAATTAGGTGGTGGTTCTTCTTGATTGATGCAGCAGCTTCTCGCTGCAGAGGAAAAGCCAGGGTGTGACTTACTCTGGTTGCATCCCTGTGGATGGAATACGCGGTAAAATGGGGGAGCTTTTCTGCGTGTTACATTTTCCACCCGCAGAGCATTTTTCTCCCTCCCTGCCCCTGCTCCTGGCACAGCAGAAAAGGGGTGATTTTGCAGAAAACACCTAAGTTGTGGCTCAACCCGACCATAGGAGCTGAGGGATGCCCTGTGATACCATGTTTGCTTTACAGCCTGGTGGCTTCTCTGTCTAAACCCATCTTTGGATGTATGATGCTGGGATTGTCTCTCTTTGTCCCGCTCGTCCTTACACCACCTCATGTTGGTGCTCTGTCCCCTGTTCTCGCCGTGGGCTGTGCTTTGAGTTCCTCACTACAAGAAGGACGTGGAGATGCTGGAGCATGTCCAGAGGAGAGCCACCAAGCTGGTGAGGGGTCTGGAGAACAAGTCCTACGAGGAGAGGCTGAGGGAACTGGGCATGTTTAGTTTGGAGAAGAGGAGGCCAAGGGGAGACCTCATTGCCCTCTCCAACTCCCTGAAAGGAGGGTGTAGAGAGGTGGGGGTTGGCCTCTTCTCCCAAGGAAATAGTGATAGGAGCAGAGGAAATGGTCTGAAGTTGGGGCAGGGGAGGTTTAGATTAGATATTAGGAAGAATGACTTTCCTGAGAGGGTGGTCAGGCAGTGGAAGAGCCTGCCCAGGGAGGTGGTGGAGTCACCATCCCTGGAGGTATTTAAGAAACATGTAGACATGGCTCTTCAGGGCATGCTCTAGTGCTGGGATTGTTGGTTTGTGTCTGTTTGTTGGTGGGTGTGGTGTGGGGTTTTTTGGTGGTTTTTTTCTTTTTTTTTGGTTTGGTTTTTTGTGTGGTTAGACGCGATGATCTCAAAGGTCCCTTCCAACCATGACAACTGTGAAGATTCTGTGATTCCCAGGAGGACCAGTGGCGGGTTGGTCCCTTGGGTAGTGGGAAGGCGAGAAGAGGGGGAAGCTTTGGGGAGATGCAGCTGCTCAATGCTGGTGTTTCAAAAACACGGTTACGACACAGCTTATTCAAGGATAGTTTTGTCTTTCACTGGGAGGCTAATTTCATTGTCCCTTGGGAGAAAGAAAAAAAACTTTAGAAACTGGACTTGCAGCAAAATGGGCTTTAATTTTTCTGGCTGAGGTTGCTTTGGGGTTGTGTGCCGAGTTCTTGCTGGAGACAGCTGAGGGCAGAGCTGATGAGCAGGAGCAGCGCAAGGTGGCACCTCCTGGTGCATCTGGGTGGGATGAGTTGCAGACTTGGGGGTGTGCAATTAAAATACAATTTAAAAAAAAAAAATAAAATCCACCTTTTTTTGGTCTTAATTACCTGGCTCCCAGGGTGCTCTAACCAACTAATGAGTTACCCAGTGGTTGCCAATGCACTTCTGCCAAAATGGAGTATCCTTTGCCCGGTAGATTAAGGATGTTTTTATGTTTTATATTGAAATAGGGTAAATGCAGAGCTGTCTCTTGATCCCAATATAACAAACTTAAAAGTCCTGCCTGTTGCCTTCAGCCTGGCTTTGGGCTCTAACTTGGTCCTGCTGTCGTGTGAGTAGGTGCTTGCATCCCAAAGGATGCTTTCAGGCAGCGTCACCTCCATCCTGGGGAAAAAGGGGTCTTTTTTTCCCCAAATTGAAGTTGTAACAGTTTGGATTTGAGGAAGGCAGAAGCAGCTGAGCCTGGAAACACCCCCATTAGCTTTCTTCCCCTCTCCTATCTAATCAGCAGTGCTGATTAATTCCAAGATCAGGCAAACATTTTTAGAAGCCGCTTCCAGAGTTCCAGCGTCACAATTTTTTATTCTTGTTGTCGGTGCTGAAGCAGTTCTTGAGCAACATTTCTGATTTAAAAAAATGAAAAGGAAAAGGCGTCCAGGGATGATTGTATAACTCCTTGTTTTGGGGTTGGGGGGTGTGTGTGTACACACTGCCTGAGTGAGGAGTTAAACAAAGCAGGGGTGAAAGGTTTTGAGGAGCGAGTGAGCTCTTAGAACTTCTACCTGAAATGAAGATGCATTGAAGATGCATCACCACATGAAGGTGCGTGGAGATGCTGCTGGGCTGGGTGTGGGTATGCAAGGACGTATAGCTGGTGTTGGCTACAAGCTGGAAATACTTAAAATCCTCCAAATTGTGCTTCCCCCAAGCCTGAGGAGTTGTTTGGACCCTTGATCCCAGCCCTGCGTTAGCAGCTTCTGGGCAATAAAGTGCAGGCTGAGTTACCAGAGGAGATGACGATGCCCAACGTTCAACTTTGGACCCGTTCTCAAGTCCTGGGTGACGTTCCTACCGGTCTGGTGCCACCTCCCAGCAGCACGTTTCCTCCCTCGGCCGCTGCTCCACGCCCCCGTTATTGGTTTATGGCAGCTGTTATCTTAATTTATTTAATTTTTTTTTTTATTTTCCCCAGCTTTATAAGCGGGGTGGGGGAAGCCAGGAGGATCTTTGGTCGGGGTGCGTGCCGGGGGGAGGATGTTGGGAATGAGTAATGGTCCAAGCTGGGGCTGTAATATGCAGAATACCTCTGGGATGACTCACCCGGTACAATGCAGCACATCCCTCAAGGAGACTGAATCACCCAGAGAGAGGAGAGGAGTGGGGGGGAAAAAGGAAAAAGCCTCTGGCTGGCTCGGCCACATCCAGCTGGGACGCTGGGGCCGCCAACGCCGCTGGGAGCCTGGTGGTAGCAGCAAGGATGGTGAAACAGAGCAGTCGGGGTGGAAAATGTAGAGGAAATGGCATCCCCCGGCAGGTACGTGCCTGTATTCTCCCCGGGTATAATTTCTTTTTTTTTTTTACTC